AAAGTAGAAGACGAACATAAGCCAAAAAAAAAAGAAAAACCTAGCCTCACTCAGAAATAGAGGTGTCAAGACGGACGGGCCGGCCAAACCTGTGAAAATCGGCCTGGATCGACCCGGGACCGCTGACCGACCCGTGACCCAAGCAGGCGGTTCACGAGTCAAGGATGTGTGACCCGCGAGTTTCGCGGGTTGCACCTTCACGGGTCGCGGCTAACCCGCTAGCCCGTGAAAAAAAATTTAAAAATTTGAAGGGAGGGAGGAGAGACAGCTAGCTTGCTGCAGCCTGGGATATACTTAAATTATAAATTATAATAAAAGTATGTGCCAACTTAGTTGGAATATACTTATGCTATAAAGATTTGATAATAGTAATTAGAAATNTAGGATTCAATTTAGTTGGGATATACTTATTTATACTATTAATATTTGATAATAGTAATTAGAAATTCATTTATTTATTTGTTTAAATTAAATTTAACTTTACAAAGTCATAAATAATTCATGTAACATTAAATTTGAATTTTATGTAAACATTTCTTGGTATAAATATGAATTTATCATTTTGTTCAATTCTTAGTCTACATTTAACAAAAAAATATTTTTCACTATAAATATGAAAAACTCTATATTTTTATAATTTTATTTATACAATAATAACGAACAAATCCGAACAAATCGCGACATGCGCAACCCGTGACCCGCATGGGCTCGACCCGATGGCTTAGCAGGTATGTTTGGGTTGTGGTCCAAAATTTGTGGGCCGACCCGGAACCCGTAGCGGGCGAACTTTTTTTCACGCGGACCGTTACCGGGCTCATATGTTGGCAGACCGACTCAGCCCGGACCAGCTGAATTGACACCTCTATTCAGAAATGAGACGTTTAGAATCAATAGAAAAAACCCCCAATGTGTTATATTTATATTATTTAGCACAACTGTTAATCTTAGATCAAGATCAATGGCCCATAACAACTAGCACTTAATCCATTTCATCCACAACTAAAGTTGCTATTCAGAAATGCGACTTGGACCATTTACTGGGTTGGTTCATAAGGCCATACACATGAAAGTATCAAGCAATAGATTTCTTACCAACTGGACCAATTAGGCACAATTATCATCATAGCCCAGGGAGAATAATTGGAATAATTAGCATCACATCCCAACAATTCTCCACCTTGACACCAATGGTATAACAAAACACAATAATTAGACAAACGCTTCTGCCCAACCATTTCATCTTGTATCATCATCAGCAGCAGCACTCAGTACATGTAAGCACTAGTTAAATAGTATCAATGTTCAACAATTTTAAACAGGATCTAAATTAGTTAAGGAGTAGTACCTTTGTCCTCATATCGGATGAGTTAAATTCTATAGGGATTTTCTTAAGTAATACAAATTCATTTGCAATTATGTCTCTCATAAAATGTAGCCTAACATCAATGTGCTTAGTTCTTTTATGAAAAACAGAGATTTTACATAAATAAATTGCACTTTGACTGTCACAATAAACAACTACAGGATAAGTAAGTTCATTTTTTGTTATTCAACATACCTTTAAGCCATAATGCTTTTATTTTTTTTTTTCCTTATGGCTTCAATAACAACAGCATCTCAACTTTAATAGTAGATAAAACAACAATAGATCAAAGTTGAGATTTCCAACTCACACACGTTCCTCACAGATTAAACATCTAAGTTGTAGACTTTCTATTAACACCATTATCAACATAATCAGAATTTACAGAATCCTTAAGAACAACCCCATCTTTACATGCTTTAAAACATGAACCCAAATTTGAATTTATCTAAGTAACAATTTTAATGCAGTCCAATGTTCTGGGCTATGATTGGCCACAAATATACTCAAGTTACTTATAACACATGTAAAATTGGGTCTAGTGTATACCATAGTATACATAATTGAACTTACAACATTTGAATAATGCACATTTTTCATATATTTTCTATTAGTGTCATAAATAGAACACTGATATTTGCTTAATTTGAAATGACTGGCAAAGGGTAAAGTTACAGATTTTGAATTATGCATAGCAAATTTTGATAACACCTTTTAAACATATGAAGTTTATTTCAAAAGTAAAATATGTTTAGGTTTATTTTTCATAATGTCCATACCTAAAATTCTTTTAGCATGTCCTAAATCTTTCATTTCAAATTCATTACTTAAAGATCTTTTTATTTTGTTTATGCTAGTCATGTTATCACCAATTAATAATATAACATCAACATAAAGCAAAAAAATAAATATTTATTTTTCTTAAAATACAAACAGTGATCACAAGCACTCATAACAAAACCAACAGAGGTAATGAAGTTATCAAATATTTCGTACTACTGCTCATGTGATATTTTTAAGACATACAAAGATATTTTTAACAAGCAAAACAAGATTATGTTTCTTTTTATGTATAAATCGTTGAGGTTGATTCATATAAATCACCTCATCAAGGTTCACATACAGAAATGCAGTTTTAACATCCATTTGATCAAGTTTAAGTTCAAAATGGGCCATTAAAGCAAGCATTCTTCTAATAATTGTATACTTCACAGTAGGAGATTTTATTATTATTATTATTATTATTATTATTATTATTATTAACACCTTATTTTTGGGTAAAGCATTTAGCTATAAGTCTAGTCTTAAATCTAAAAGATTTTTTCTCAGAATTGTCCTCCTTAATATTGTAAATCCACTTGTAGTCTACACAGGATTTATCTGAAGGTTTAGACACTAACACCGAGGTTTTATTTTTTATTAAGGAATTCATTTCCTCATTCATAGCACTCTACCACTCTTTAGATTGTTTACTACACACACCCTCCTTATATGACTTTGGCTCCTTAAAAACAAAGTCTAGATACGATAAAACAGTAAGGGAAACAAAATCTTTATGTGTAGATGGTTCTCTTGTTTCCCTCCTACTTCTATCCTTAGTCAATGATAATTTTCTATTGGGCCTCATCACCATCTTGAACTCGAATCTCACTCCCCTCTATTTCACTAGAATCAGAGGTATTCTCTAATTCCCCTTCTCCTTCAACCTGATCATTTATTTCAAGATCATGTGCAAGGCCAAACTCAACATACAAGTTTTCATATCCCCTAAGCTTTTTTTCTCTCTTTTTGACTCAAACAAGGCATATCAGATTAATTGAATATCACTAATGATTTTAAAACCTCATAGGCTCCTCACCCATAATATGTATCCTTTAACCCCTTCAGAATATCCCAAAAAACACATTTCTGAGACCTTGGTTCAAGTTTCCCAACATTTTGATGATAAAAGACTCAACAACCAAAAGTTCTCATCAAATAACAGTCAGCATGTTTACCATTTCATATCTCTTCAAGTGTTTTACCATCTAAGGCAATAAAAGGAGTCCTATGGAATATGATGAAGTTGTCATAACTTCATCCCATAAGGTCTTAGGAACCCCAGAACTAATCATCATGTATCTACATTTATCTAGAATGGTCTTATTCATTGTTTTAGCAACTATATTTTGTTGAGGAGTATATGAGACAATTTTGTGTATAGAAATTCCATTTTGTTTTCAAAATTGGTCAAAAACAGAGTTGCAAAATTCTAGGCCATTATCAGTTTTTAAAATCTTAATCTTCTTACCATTCTGATTTTCTATTAAAGTTTTCCAAGTTTTAAATTTCCCGAAAATGTCATATTTCTGTTTTAATAAGAACACCTACACTTTTCTTGAAAAATGATCACTCAAGGAGAGAAAATATTTATTTTCCCCTTAAGTGACGAAACAGATGAATGCCCTCAAAGGTCAGAGTGTATATACTCAGATAGAAGTGGATTTGTGCTTCCTAGTGTTAAAGTAGAGTCCATGTTGCTAGCCGAAGGTACAATGTTAACATAAGGGAACTTTTGAGATAGAATCCTTTCCCCTTTTGTGAAGAATATGCAAACCTCTTTCACCCACATGGGCCAATCTATTGTGCCACTTTAAAGTGGCATCAATTTCAATAGTAGAGGCCTCAGCAGTGTGATCAATAATAGCTTCAGCCTTAGTGACATAAATCCCATTTCTCTTATTGCTTTTAAACATGACAAGTGATCGATCTTAACATGTCATTTCCAAGCTTTCCTTGCAGTCCTATGCCATCTAAATCTGCCATTGAAATCAAGTTTCTATTCAAGTCATAGTGGCTTAACTGGTTCATCACTAATTGAATTTTAAGTTTAGTTCCTGACTTTTAATCGAAGTTTAAAATATTACTTCAAGGTCACTGAACTTTTAAGAATAAAAGTTTATGCATCATTCATTCTCATTTCATTTGTTGAGTTCAACAAAAATGTCTACGTGGTAGATAAATTTACACGTGACGCACAACAGACGTTAAATTACCCTAATTAGTTGTCATCTCACAAAAAAAATGAAATTTGAAAAACGATTTTTGGCTTTTTGTCATCTTTATCATTACACAATGAGAACATTTTGTTGTACACTATTTTTTGAAAACGTGTTTTGAAATCAATATTTTGGTGAGTTTACAATTGATTAGGATATTGTAAATATCGCAGGGTGAATTTCTCACAAAGGCAATTGTGTTAATTTTAATGAACAAAATTATAAAGAGTGATGAATGGGAACATTTTTAAAGTCCAATAACCTTGAAAATTTTAAAATTCGGTTGAAGTCATGGACACAATCTAAAGTTCAATTGGTGATTAAGAAATTAAATCCAGTAATATTGTGTGGACAATCTTGTTAGCAAAAGTATTCGGTGCTAAAAGTGGAAGTCTTGCGAATATGGCCCATTTAGTCCGATAAGCTAACAAAGTTCAACCCATAAAGTAACCCGGATCAGATATTTATCACAGAAGTGGATTACGAGAAGCTTTGCTTTCAGCCGAAGAGAGACAATCTTGCATTCCCTCCCAAACTCTGCTAGAACAGGATAAATACATTGATTTATGTTCTAATCAATTCCGAATTAATAGACACAAATGTTAATCTGCTACAGCTCTCCTTCTTGCACCGGAAATCTCATTTCCGGCAGCCTGTTCCCGCGAGAATGCAAGCTCTCCTTAAAACCCAAAAAAATTTCTTTGTTTGATTTTAATGGGTGTGATTCCTTGCAAATGGTTAGCTCTCAGAAGTCCATGTTTTCTTGTATGGCTGTTGGCTCGGTAATAATTCATTCCTCTCCACATGTACACGTTCTCTGTGAAGAAAGCACTTTTATGTATGAAATTTTGTATGTTTACTTGTGATATAATCTTAGAACTCTGGGATTTTTTTCTTGTTTTGGTTGCTCTGCTGAATGAATGATTATGTTTTATTGAATATGTGCTGAAACTTGAAGATATATCAGAGCTTGTGGGGAATAATACTTTGAAATTATATGTAGATGTGCTCCAAAGTATTAAAGAATAGTGTGTTCAGTAAAATATGTATAAGAACATTTTAGTTGGAAAGTAATAAGAATACTTAAAAGTATATATATAACTTAACTAATCTTTTGTATGTGAAAAATAAAATAAAAAGGATAGATATAAATAAGAGTTAAAGATCATAGACAGGATAGACAAAGTTCCATGCTTTGAAGGGCCAAGGCTTCCTTAGAGAATGTGAATGTAAATTCAGTAAAAAATGCCCATTAATGTTTTGGTTGCCATGCTTTTAGTCATAACCTAATCACCTGTAACATAAGCCTTTGTATGCCATTTCCTTCAGATACACTTTGTCCTTGATCATAAACAAAGATGCCCAAATTGTTGATAAAGCAACATCTTTGCAGAATGTGAGTGAAGATACAGATGATATGTACGATGACTTGTTCAAGAAGTACGGGAAGGTGGTCTTTAGAAGAAATGACCAAAAGTCTGCTAGTGCAGAGGTCGATGATGATGCTGAATGTTTAGCCTGTAAGCTATTTCCATCTGTGCCTTGCAGTGATGTACAAAACATTGTGCTTTTCGTTAAACTTTCTACTAATTTATATTATGTACAGTGTACAACTGGCAATCTGTTTTTCTTTCTATAATCCTGTTACATTTATTGAGAACAAAAATGCTGCAATATTGTCACATTGACAACCTTATTGGTACTGCTAGGTTATTATCTATTCTAGGAGAATTTGAATGTACTAGAGCTCTTGTAGGTTGGATGTATTAGAGCTTGTCCTGCATCAGTTAAGTGTCACCTGCTGAAGTAGTACGTGGACTTAGGTGGTATTGCCATTGCTTATTCGTTTTTGAGGTTATATCGTTCTCTTATGAGGAAGAGGCTAGGAGAGACAGAAACCTTTAGGATCTATGCAAATATATACAAAAGGAGGTGGAATTTGCAATCCTTAGAGCATCTTCAATGGTGGTGTAAAATATAGATTTAGATCTTCAAAGTGGCCGGAAACCTCTCTAATGGAGAGATGC